CTTAACTGTTAATTCATATAGACATGTAACGCTCCGTTTCTTCCACCAACAGGGCTCTCATTTTAGTGTAGAGTGTCAGACTGAATTTACCAACGCACCATGTCAGGTCACTCACTCTCCGGAACGGCGAGTGTTACTTGAATAAGTAAACACTGACCAACGGGACCAGACTGGCCGACCTGTACACTCTCACTCAGTGCATAGGTGATGTCACAGGAAGCCAATCTTACAAAGGAGGACGACACTTGAACGGTTTCCTCCAGATTGTTTTGCTATCGAAGCTAACGTTAGCTAATGTGCTAAAAAGTTAGCATCACAGAGAAATCCAATATTCCTCTTAATACCTCCCCAGTTTCTGATGAGGTGGACATGATAACCCTTAAAACACATAACGTTATTCATCCCTACAACAGGAAATACTTTTCCCCTAACCTGATATGAAGTGTGCGTGTATCGCCTCCATCCAGTCCTTTCGTCTTATTGCATTTAACCATAGTTGTTTTTAGCTATGACTCCTTCTATTCTGGCTCCCAGTAACACAACAAGATGATGTTTTAAGACTCCTGCTAACACACTGACATTACTGTCGCATCATCCCTAAATGGGTCTATAAATCCATGAGACAGACTGCACATTTAAATATAAGGAATGGAGAAAAATAAAAAATAATAAAAACAGTTTACATGTGCAGAAAGGGCCAGAAATGGCTTTTCATGGTACCTCACCTACAGAGAAGAATAAAATATGCATAGATTGAAAAAAATACAACATGACACAAAGTAAAATGTCAATAAGATACATATCTTCCACACAATCAACACTGAGGAGAAAATAACACAACATCAAATACATCAGTTCCATGCAGAAACACAGCAGCCACATACCACACTGATGATTCATACAGTACCAGTTCTTTTTTGTCGTAACCCACTTTTAAGTTTCTTTTTTTACTGGGACAAGGACATAGAGTCAGTTTAAAAGTTCAAGTTCATGTTCCACAGTTGGGCTCCACGGTATCACAATGAATAGGGGACGTGAGGCACAACCTGATGTGGGGTAAATTGTAACATGGACTTTTTAAGTGGTTACACTGGGTCGATCCTGTTGTGCTTCTGATCAGTTGACTACAACACCACCAAACAGTGACCTGCATAATTCCACAGAAACTGGATGTGTTTCACTAACAAAGAGTGTTTTCAGCCGACATAAGTTAACTTCTTTGTCATACTTGTTTTTCGATTACTGAGCCGTCACCGAATCCAACCTTGTATCACCTGAATAACTGTCTGCTGCCTAAAACATAGCACTGTTTTTGAATTATGCAACTGTGGAGGTGGGTGTGGTTAGCAGTTAGATGCATGGGGGAGGTGTGGGAGGATGGCTCATGAGAGTAACACCAGGGGTCCATTTCACAAAGCAGGTTTAGTGAAAACTCAGAGTCTGTTAACCCTGAAATGAGGGAAACTCTGAGTTTTCCGTTTCAAAAAGGGAGGTAACTCAAACCAGAGAAAGAGGAGTAACTCTAGCCTGTTTCAGAGAGAGAGGTAACTTAAGCTCTCGGTCAGTTACCGTAGTAACAGACTCTATGAACCTAACCTGGTCGGGACCAGGTTTTTGTCAATGAACCTCGAGTTTCTCTCTGTCTCCGCCCTCTTTCAGAGCCACACACTCCATTTGATTTCCTCATTCATTCAGTCAGCAGGCGAGTTTTGGCGTAGCCTAGTTCTGCCGTCTGTCATTTTAAAAAATCAGAGTCAGTATATTAGAAGTCCATTAGGCACAGTAGGTGGCGACTTTTTTCACTAACATGGCATGTCCTTTTGATAACGATCCTGTGGATGAAGGTGCAGCATTACTGCGCAGAGAATTAAATATTCGTCGGGAGATGGTTATCAGACCGCGCATAGATGTTTTAGCATTTCCACACAATTATCTTTTTGAGCTGTACCGTTTCACGTCACAGTCCATCATCTACATACACAACCTAATCCGTCCTTACATTTGCAACATTACCAATCGTAGTCATGCTCTCACATCCCAGCAGATATTATGTGTTGCGCTGCGTTTCTTTGCAAATGGAAGTTTTTTGTACAATGTCGGAGACGCTGAGCACTTGAGTAAGGCAACTGTATGCAGGGCGGTCAGAAAAGTGTGCTCGTTTTACGGGCATCTGCCTTCTTTCTGTTCGCTGAGTAGAAGTCTGTGTTAGTTTAAATAGGCTTAATTATTTAACAGAACATGATATAGATGAGAAGACATTTATGTGTGTGAAAACAGCATTATGTTGGGGATAAAACAACTGCACAGTCAAACAGCCACTTAATATTTACTTTACAATGTAAAACATGATCAGAATGAGGTACCCCCATGAGATTATGCCGAGGTCTTACCTGTTTGAACAATGTTTTTATATTTCATCCTAAACTGCTGCCAAGTGCGCTTCTCCCCCGCGGGATTGCACCTAAATGAAATAAATTAATAGGCTACCATTCAAGCAGTTTTCCCCTGTAATATTATTGTGATTGCAAAGGACTACATTTAAACTTACGCATTGACCCGAGCAGCAATGTTCTCCCACGCCGTCTCCCTCTCTTTTGCAGCTGCAGCGGTGTTGCACTTCTTTTTGAAAACGTGTGCAAACTCGCCGTATGAGCGCATTAAGATTTCTAATTCTAATGGGGTGAAAAACGCAGCCCTCCTCTTCCCCGTTGCCATGGTGACTCGTCGAATCGGGGCTCCATTGATGCTGGCTTTTTATAGTTGTGGTGCACGCGCTTAACTCCAGGTGAAACTACTCTGAGTTGATTAAACTGATTCAAATCAGCTGTTCTGGAACCGGAAACTCAGAGTTTCCTATCTCAGAGTAGATCAACTCAGAGTTCAGGATTAGACTCAGAGTTTGTTGAACCTGCTTTGTGAAACAGACCCCAGGTGAGTTGATCGTTACAGCTGCTGCTGGTTTGTGCTGATTACATCTCCCCCTTTTTAATGCAGTGGTGTGATGGCCCTTGGATGAGTGTAGCCCTGACCAAGGACAAGGACACTGCCTGAGTTTTTGGTGTAAGACTAAATGGACTGGAAGACATGGAAGAGGAGCCCTGCAGCCATAGTCACATGCTGTGGACTGATTTTGTTGTTGTTGTGTGCTGGGCTGCAGTAAATAAAAGTATTAGTGCTGAATCTGTTACATCAAAGCCACCTATAGTGCATTTTCTCTATTTTTGCACATCAGTTTGAAATAATGTCTTTAATTAAATGAGATATACTTAGTTTTTTTTATTTGGCAGGTATCTTATACATAAGTGCTCGCCAAGACACTGTAAGATATGGATATATTAGACTGTAATATAATGTTAAAACTCAAGATGAATGTAGCAAAGGACGAATTTCTCTAGTAATTCCCTGACATTTTGTGACCTTGTTGCAAACAAAACTGATGGGATATTTCCAAATGAGTTTCTCGTCAATTAAAATTCCAACAAATCTTGTTAATGTGACTTTAAAAACTTCTTCACCATCAAAATATAATTTTGCTAATTTATGAGAGGCTGTATTGGTGGCTCTTGCATGTATGACTGCATCTTTCAGGTCAGTGTTAACTGACCCACTGATGACTGGTCACACTGTTGAGACCAGTGTGTTTGTATTTGTGTGTTTAAAGGCACAGTGACGTATTTTCAACTGTAGTGTAATTTAATATATCTCGCTTAAATAATGAGAAGGTATTCATTTCAGCTTTGGTTGCCGTCTGTATGGACGAATAAAAGGGGTAACGCGATCACATGTACTTATTGTAATACTACAGTGGCTTGTTGATTTAGTAATTCTGATTGCACTAGATATTTAGCGGTTACTAAAACCATTATTTCCTGCTCATGTTCCATAATAAAAACTCAAGGGAAGGTACTGTACTACACTTCCACATTTAACAGCTGTTACGCTGTTAATGTGAAACAGATGGAGGAAGTTTTGTTTTGGTAATAATAAAATAGAACTAAAGGAGCAACAGTAAATCAAAATAACAGTAAGGTGCATAGCATGTATTATATTTACAATAATACATAAATAATGGAATTTATAATAAAGTCTTGTCTCGTATAAAAGCCTTGCACAAATAAAGGCCTGGTTTCCTGCAGGTAAATAAAGGCACCACTCCCTGATTACTTAACCATCTGCATACATTTTTTATGTAACTCAGATGTTTGTAAACACAGGACTGTTTTTATGTTTTGCTACTATGTTTACAAACATCGCTCGTGTAATCAAACCTTTAACAGCATAATAAACCACGAATAACTTTTATTTGTTGTTGTGTATGAGCCACACTTTTAAAGGACCTGTTGGGGTTTGAACTTTGTACTTGGAGTTTGATTACATTATATTATATTTGATTACACTGTGAGGACTAACTGTGATTTAGCTCATGTCTATGTTTATTTTGTATTTCATTTTATTATTTATTTTTATTTTATTATATTTTTTATTTTCATATATATTTTTTTAAATTTTGATTTTTTGTTTTAGTTTATCCTAAACCTAATCCCCATACACATTTATTATTATTATTATTATTATTATTATTATTATTATTATTATTGTTATTATTGTTGTTGTTGTTGTTGTTGCTATTTTTTTAAATATACAAACTGATGGAACTGATGATTGCATTCAAACAAAATGGTAGTATATTCATATATTAGAAAGGTATTGTAGAAGACCTTTCTAATATATGAATATTAGAAAGGTATTGTAGAAGACTGTGTGGAAAAATTAAGTGAAAACTGTATATTTAACTGATTAAAAATATTCTAAAAAATATATCAAAATTACTTTGGTTTTGGATTTTATTGTTATTAACATTATTTCAAATATTATTAAATATTTAAGCACTTGACCTAGTATGTTTTTCGTGATGAGCTGCTCATCAAAAATTAATTCAAAAAGCATACTGTGCAAAAACTAACCAAAACATTCATAACAAAAGGGTCAGGAGTCATGAATATTGTAGCACAAATATAGAAATTTATTTTTTGAATGGGATGTACATGACACACACCTTCAAGTTAGATGAAATGCTGGGGCACAGACCTTTCTTCACAGTGAGAAAAAAATAGATTATTCAAGAAAGAAAAATCTTGATTCCAGCCACACATACTATACACTCATCAAAAAATTGCACTTGTTAAAACAAGCAAATAATATAAACATCTGGTCTTCAATCATTCCTTTTTTCCACATACTGCAACCACCCCAAATTCCCCAACACCTCCCTGTTCGAGACAACCAATCACGTGCAGAGTCTCTCTTGCGGCACATCTGTTGATAGCAGCTGTTTCTCAGCAAATTCACCTCAATATTACATCATCAAAACATTTTACATCAGAGATGTGCAATTTACATGGAGGGAAAGAAAGGGCTGCATGACTCAAAATTTGAAAATTAAGGCCATTTTGAATCATGTTTGATTATTTTCTCATTTGAGGGTGCAAAAGTTTAGTGTGCATTTTTCATTAGAAATAAATCAGCTGTGTGTCTTTCAGTAGAGAAGCATTTTGTCGCCATGCACTCCCACACTTTCCCTTCAATATGAAGGATTTAATCAGCTCCATTTCCACTTCTTCAGTTTACAGACATCACATTGAGAGGGACATCTCAATCAGTGCATATTTAACCATGACATCAGGCCCTCAAAAGGGGCTTAACATTTGTTGTGGGCTGTACAAATAGTCTGCATTTTAGTGGGAAGGCACTCTGAGAAGGCACATCAATATTTTACAAAAGAGGAATCTGAAACATGATAGATTTTTCCCATTATCCCCCATCCTCCAACCACTGATCATTAGGTCTCTCAGACCAAAATGACCCCCATACAGCAAAAAGCAGGTCAGTTGAACACTTTACAGTTAGGTTTCTGTCTGGTTTGTACACTTCCTCTGCTATAAAAGCAGAGACTGTTTGCTTCAGTTTACTTTCTGGCTGAGAGCCAGTCTAAGCTCAAACCCACAGCTGGATTTGCACTGAATGCCCTGTCAGTGTCCATTATCTTATTTTGATGCCATTTCAACAACCATTTAGAGGTTTTCACCAGTAAGGCACGGTGTTTTCAATCTGACCCCAGCTCTGCCAGCCGGGGAAGAGTCCGCTGGACATGCGTGGGCTGCCAAACTGATCGAACTCCATCTCCAGCACTTTGACACCCCCGTTTTTGTGCTCTGCAGGCTTCTTCTGCCCAACAGAAGTTGGGGGCATAGTAATACTCAGGTCCTGTCCGTTCCAGCCAGCATGCTGGATAATGTAGTTTTTGCCATCGTTATTGTCCCAGAAGGTCTGGCCCTGGGCTTTATAGCAGATGCAGAACTCGACGCGATTCTGTGGTTGGATGACGGCTGGCAGCTCCAGGACGAATGTAAAGGTGTCAGTATCCTGACAGCTGTAGACGTTGTTCATGAAGGTGCAGTCGATGTCAGTGAAGCTCGCCCATGAGTCGAAGGTGGCACGCAACTGCACCATCTTCTCAAACCCCATGTTCCGGACCTTGATGGTGCCGGTCAGCGAGCGTTCCTGCAGTGAGCAGTTCTCCAAGCAGACTGAATTTTTAATCAGGCGGTTCCGGAAATCCAGATAGTCGGCTGAGGGCTGTTTAAAGTCCAGCGCCAAGCTGCGAACTGAACTGATCTTAAGATCCATTGTGGCTGTTTCAAGGTCTGTCATGTCAAACTGCAGTTCCTCACTAATTCCCCTTCTTTTGTTTTGATATGGCTCATCGTCAAACTTGGAGAAGACATGGATGGCGGTGAGTGACATTCCCTTCGAGTCTGCGAACACCACCTTCTTCTTGCTGGCCTTATTGTTGTTCCAGCCCACACAGTTGCCATCATCCACTGCTTTCTGCTGGCTGCTGAGGCAGGGTCGCAGCGGCTTGTAGAGCTGCTGGTTGCGGCTGTGGGTGGTGGACTGGTTAACCAGGTTCTTGGCCCTCTGGAGCTCCTCGTAGGAGCTGAGGAAACCACGCAGGGGAGGTGGAGAGTGGCTGATGTAGAATCTCATAGCCACATCCATCGGCATTACTGGACCAGGCATTGCTGATGGACTGAAAGACCTGAGCACACTGAGGGAGGGAGAGCAGAAGAGAAGAAGGGAGGTGGTGTGAGAGGGAGGGAGGGTGAGGGAAGAAATGTGACGGAGCAGGAAAAGAAAGACACAGACGGGGAGAATTAGAACTGTGGCTTCACTTTTTCTACTTTAAAAAAGCTCTGCCTTGATGTAACACGTTACTTCTGCAACCAGGAAGACAACGGTACTTTGCAATGTCTGCACATAATGTCCCCATCTCGCAAATTATGGGTCTGGTTTTACAATGGCTCAACTTTGCAGATAAATTTAATTACATTTAGACTCTGTTTAAAAATCTACACATGAAAACAGATCTAAATGTTACATTTCAGCATGACTCACTTTTACAAGAATCAAAACTTGTTCTGATCCTTACCTTGCAGCACTCATGAAGTAAAGAAATAAACTGTTCCAAGGAGGATAAAACTCTTTTTTAAAAGTTTTCGGCCCCTTCGACTTCTCTCTATAAATTATCTTTTCTCTCAAAGTGCATGCTGTGGTCACGCCTCCTTCTCTTCCACCTCTCTCTTGCTCTTCCTGTCTTACAGTGCAGGGGTTTGCTCAGCACTCAGGGATTTCAACTGCCACATCGAGACAATTTGCATATGCTGAAATATGGTTCCTCCAACAGCCAATGAAAAGTTAGTGAAATCCCTTGCCAACCAATCGGCACAGACTTGCCCTGGCTGACAGCCAGCTGATAGGGGAGTGTCGCCTGCATGGGCCTCATGGTTGGGATGCCTCAGGCTGTTGCCTCAGCTGCTATTTGAGAAACATGACAGACCCCTGCTGGTGCTGGGGATGATATTCACATTAGTCACTGCAGATTGCTGCTTGAAGCCTCTGGCTCTTCATGACTGGGATTCCCACACCGAATCACGGCAAGATTATTTTTGCCCCGGTGACTTTGTCACTGCTTGGCACTGAGTGTAACTTATTAGAAAAGATAATGAGTTACAGGAAGAAGAGTTGTGAATCGTCTTATATGATGGCATTTTTTTAAATTTTAAGGGTATTTTTTAAATGTAGTACCCAAAGAATTCAGATAATACTTCTCAGATCTGCTTAAACTGATGTTTTGTAAGTCATGATGTCCCTTTCTGATGTCTTAAACCATTCACTAATGATGGGTGATCACATGTTCAAGGTGTTTAATATCGCACTTCTTCAACAGAATTTCATTTTAGTTTGTGTGTTAGTTTGGCACATCTGTGGATCAACAAAAAAAATAAAAATAAATAAATAAAATAAAATAAATGGTGAGATGCCTTTAAGGGAAGAAATATGTTTGTAAAGGTAAAAAACAGACAGATGTCACACTGACACGGAGACAGTGTGATGTCTGAAATGTGTTTTGCGGTTTTATATAACGAGGGTGATGAGTTGATCTGATGTGATGCATCTGATGGCTTTTTAACACCTTAGCTTTAAATGAAATAATTAACATTGTCACTGTGACCTCGCTGGCTTTTCCTCCCTATTCTTGGTCTTACAGAAATGTCAGCGCAGATCAGACCAAGAAAGCACTCTTAATTAGTGGTTACTGAAGGCTTTAATACTTTGAGTGTTAAGAATGTTCAGTTAAACATTCATGTCCAAAGACGGAAAAAATTTAAGTGTAAAAGATGAAGTTTAGGGGTTTTGGCTTCTTTTTCCTGGTTGCAAGTGTTTTGACTTCAGGATATGGTGACAAAGATGCTATTTTTAAAGCATGTTTGCTTTATTGATTTCAGCCGTGGGTTAAACATTATCCTCACAGTCATCAAACTGAGCAGAGTCGACTTTATTTGGAGCCCGATCAGGGAAGTTTCTCCACAGCCAGTAGCAATGGGTGAACTTAAATCATCCCTTCTACTTTTAATTTGTGCACCAGAAAACAATTCACTCAGCCACACTGTGAAATCTCAGCTGAAGGTCATCAGGTCTCAGGCGACTGCATTTTTCAGTGACAAGGCTGAGAGTTGAGAGCCCTGTTTGTGCCCCCTAGAGGCCATGCCGCTTCAGGACTTTTGTTCTTTCTTTAAATTTGGAGTTTGTTTCTGTGTCTTGGAGTGGGGTTCATTTTGACGTGGAGCCAGATGCAGACTGCTTTCTTACCTTAGCAAAGATCAGAGAGCATTGCTGAGGGGCTTTCCCCTCCACCAGGCCTCTGTGTACCTCTGAATCACCTGCAGGGAGACTTTAGACTCCAAGTGCCAAATATGCCACTTCCACATGCTCATAAAGACAACAGACAGTATTTACCACAGCCTTAGGTTGCACAAATCAGTCCCGACATTGCATCAGAAAACATATTTCTTTATATAGCAGCATTTACAACCAAGTAAACTCAAGAGTGATGAAATAATGCTTTGAAAGGTGATAAAGATAAACAATAAAACATTTTGAAATACTGATAACAGGTTTATATGAAGACAAACAAAGTAAATATTATGGTTTATAAAGAGCTCTTTCCAATGGGTTTGTATCAGGGAGATATGGGATGTAACCAAACTTTGTTATTTAGACATATTTCACATACAGTGCTCTTTTGTCTGACAACAGAGATCTCTCTGCCGAGATCAATTGACGATTTTTGCTGTGGTGCAAATGTGGGTATTTATGCTCATTGAGCCCCTACTGTCACGTAGTGTTCATGTGATCATGTCAAATTTAGAAGTCTGGAATTTCAAACAAAGGTTAAACAAACTAAAATCATACTGAGGCAACAGATGTGCAAGACAGGATGACCTTGAAGGTAAATCAAATCAGTTTTGAAAGCAGGGAAATGACAAATACATGGGAGGAGCACTGCCAGCGGTTAGATTTCTGTCTCTCAGAAGATGTTACTTCACAGTTTGTTGTAGTTTATGTGGTCGCAGCTGTTTATCAGAAATTGTGTTGCACAAGATGCGCACAGAAAGGGAGTTATCTTAAACCAACAAATGAAAGCTGCTGAGTCTCACTCCACAATATGATAAGACATTCACCTGGCCATCTATCCATTCTTACTATACACACACACTCCACTATTTCATTATCAATAAAAATATGATCTGGATCTTCCTCTGTGTGCCAAATATGAACTCCCAGTTAGTGTTCCTTCAGTGTTCATTGTTCAGGAGGAGCCAAATTGTCCGCAGAGGTCACCTCATCTGTGAGGCAAATGGACCCAGCGATTTAAACCAGTAAAAACACAGAATGAAGCAGTTTCACATTAAAAAAAAGTGTTTCTCCAGCACTGCTTGTTGCAGATGAGCTTCTAACTATGTACATTGTAACCTGGAAATCCAGATGCCCTGCCCCTAGCAAATTTGAATTTGTTCTGCACAGGAATCTGGCCCCGATGAGCAGAGCCCACTGAATTGCCAATCGAATCAATCAGATCAGTCTACCTGACAGAGGCGGGCTCTGGGCGTGCATAACATGATGAGGACAGCGCAGCACCGTAGGAGTAGAGAAGTAAACAGCCAAGATGGCAGCTGCTGAAGGACAGCGTCAATTCAATTTAGCTTTGGAAGAAACGCTAAGCCAACTACATTTATCTTTTTCCTTGAGAGAGGAACAGAAGACTGCCCTAGAAGCCTTCGTTTCCAGGAAGGATGTTTTTGCTGTTTTGCTGACGGGATACAGCAAAAGCATAATATATCAGTTAGCCCCACTGGTCAGCAAACAAATGGGGCTTAATGCAATGAATATGTCACCTTGTTTGTTGCTCTGATTGGCCATCGTGCTATCCAATTGCGTGCAGCGGCATTTGAAATGCGTAAGTTAGTGTCGCCCCTTGGGTAGGGAGGGTGTATCGGTGAGGGCCAGGCTCTGACTTTCCAGGCTAACTACATTGGCCAACGCAAAAAAATAAATGGCCCCATCTAGAGTCGGTGTTGGGTTTGTCCGCTCTGGGCTACTGTAGAAACATGGTGGTTCAACATGGCAGAATCCATGGTCGAGGACCCACTCCCTATCTAAACAGCTCATTCTAAGGTACCAAAAACACTTATTTATTCTTATTTTCAGGATATTATACATTAAAAACATACTTATTATATTATATTCCATTTCTGCTGGTATACCCCCCTAAATCCTGCACACTGGACACTTAAATGATGAAGTGTTTAGTCTGTAAAATGTCAAAAAGCAGTAAAATTCTGGTCACTATTTCACCGAGGTAACATCTTGAATTTCGTCTGACAAACAGTACAAATGAAAAAATAAATTCAAAATCTTTGTATCTGAGAAGCTGGAGCCAGATCATTTTTTGGTATTTTGCCTTTATAAATATAAAACTTGTCGTTAGTTAATTTCCAGATTAATTTAGTAATCACTTCTAATTGTTTTGCCATTATTCTAACCCATTTTATTTTGCCAGACATCACAGGGAGCCTGAGTCACAGTGGGCAAAAGGAAGATAAACAGCCGTCATAAACTGCCGTGAGACTGTCATCACAGATGTCACTGATATTCATAACAAAAACAAATCTAAAATAAACAATGATATGTTAAATAAAAGCCAGTAAGATACCATAAATGTTTAACTCTGTTTTTTGCATTCTGTTGGAGCTTTTCACATTTCATTTAATCTCTATTTTTCTCTTGCAATTCAAATCCAGTGACCTTTGTTGGCAGACCTGTGCTGCTTGTGTACATATTGCCAAACCAAAAATACGACTGTGAAACAGGGGGCGATAAACTGTTAAAAGCAGGATGAGCAATAAGATCAGCAAGTAATTATTTACACTGCTCTTTACGCTTTTGCATCAGCTAGCTGTGCACGTAGCCAGCAACATTAGAGGTCATCAGAGTTTTGAAATACTTTTAATTAACTTGATGAGTTTTCATTTGTGCTATACTGCATATTTTGACTAATTTCAGAGGGGATTTTTTTTTTGTTACATAATATTTGTTTTTAATATTTAATATTCTAATATTTCTTCCACTTTTTAAAGCTAGGTATAGTTACTCCGCAGAGTTAGAGGTATTCTTATAATAATAATAACAATATTAATAATAATGCATTTTATTTATAGGCGCCTTTCAGGACACTCAAGGACACCTTACAAGAGTAGACAAAAAAAAAACAGTAGCAATGTATCCATAGGTCATAAAATCAAATAATTCAGTAATATACAATAGAAGTTAATAAAATGACTAGACAAAATTATAATTATAAACACTACGTATAAACTAATCATAATAATATCATCATCAATATGTGTGTCTCTATTAAATCAGACTGAATATGTCAGCTTGAAAAGGTATGTTTTCAGACGGGATTTGAAAGCAGAAAGGTAGTCAATATTGCGAATGTCGTGGGGGTGAGAGTCCCAAAGGCGGGGGTAGAGCGGCTGAAGGCTCTGGAAGCCATGGTAGTCAAGTGGGCAGATGGTGATGTGAGCTGGAATGCAGGAGAGGATCGAAGAGTACGGGAGGACGTGTAGATATGAAGGAGTTCAGACAGGTATGAAGATGTAATATTGATTTTACCATTTAAACCAGGGATACTTAACTTGCTTTGCCCGAGGGCAAAATTACTCGGACCTCTGTCTGGGGTCATGGGATCCTCCTTTGG